TTATGGCTGAATTCGGTGAATTAAGGTCCAATCTCAATTTCCCGCTTTTTTTCGTCATTCTATCACTATTTTGAGTTGGCCCGAAATGTGACCTCCAAATATTATCGAAACGAGTAAGGTACAATTAAAAATAAATTAGGGTACTGTTAAGTACATTTTTGGTACAATTATTATCAGCAACAAAATTTCAAAAAATATCGTTGATTTTCATTTTTGCCATTTTTTCGGGAAACCCCCCGTGAATTTTGAAGGACATGTTCAGCAGAAGAACACCATCGAAGTAATGACTTTATGATGATGTTATTTTGAAGGTACATTTTAGGTACAATTATTATCAGCCATAAAAATTTAAAAAATATCTTTGAGTTTTGTTTTCGTCATTCTATCACAATATTGAGTTAGCCCGAAATGTGGGCTCCAAATATTATCCAAACGAGTAAGGTACAATTAAAAATAAATTGCGGTACTATTAAGTACATTTTTGGTACAATTATTATCAGCAATAAAATTTTAAAAAATATCGTTGATTTTCATTTTTGCCATTTTTTCGGGAAATCTCACGTGAATTTTGAAGGACATGCTCTGCAGAAGAACACCATCGATGTAATGACTTTATGATGATGTTATTTTGCAGGTACATTTTAGGTACAATTATTATCAGCCATAAAAAAAATTAATTAAAAATAAATTGCGGTACAATTAAGTACATTTTTGGTACAATTATTTAAACCTAGTCCACATTTTCGACTTTCACATGTGCCGACATTCGAATATACATCCCATATTTTGCACATTGGCACATTGGATAGTTTGGTTTGAAAATCGCTATGTTTATGCTAATGTGTGTTTCAAAGAAAGAAAGTGAGCGACAACACACACTCCAGTGACGATAGTACAATAAAATTTGAAAATTTCTCTGGGTTCAACAACGATGAGTTGCAACACTCGGTAAAATAAATGGAAATTCGCAATGAAAATAAAAATCGAAATAATAAATGAAACACATAAAATTCTAGTTTCATATTGCATCAGTTTTTGGTTTTGTTTGTTTATCAGACAAAACCGGTATGTAGTTTACTATATTGAGGCTAAGAATGTCGCGAGCACTGCACTCTTTGTCAGTGTCGATCGATTTATCGTATGGGATTTGGGCAGAACGAACTGGCGAATTGACGACAGTCAAACCAAAAGCTCAAATACACACTCTGTAATATTTTCGCGATCCAATTGAGAGAAAGAACGTGCGAGAGCTGTGATAGAAAGAGAGAGAGAGAGAGAGAGAGAGCTGTTGTTGCCGAAAACAACGGCAATTTACATTCAACTTTGGTACAAAACGTTGAAATTACGCTAAATACCAACAAACAGTTGGCAGTTAAAAGCTAGCAGTTTTGTTTGGTTCGGCAAGAGAGAGAGCAAAGCGTTCGAAAATGCGACAAACTTGGCGAAAATGTGAAAACAGTGTTAATACATATTTGAAAAGTAATCTATGCATATGCTAAGAGCGCGAAAACTGCAGACAGACCAATGAAACATGGCATCAAAAGCGCGTTTGGTGGCACCATCGGTGCTTCTATTGTTGCTAGTGTGTTGTTGTTTCGGCTGCTTCTGCTGATGTTCATGTTTTTTCTCTCGTTTCATCGGGAATAACATGTTGTTGAACATCTATTTTGTGTGCAAGCAATTGAATCTTCTTGTAAACTGGAACCCGACACACATATATATACACACTCGCCAAGAAAATAATAGAAGAAAACTAATCCCCATTGTGTACGATGCGATTCAATACGATATGCCGATCGAAAATGGTGTTTTCAAGTACAGTTTAAATAAATGTTGGCTGCCGCTATTCATTTCTTGTTTTTTTTTTCGTTCGCTCACTTTCTATTTGCACTGTCTCTAGGTTCTTGTTTTGCATTCCGTCGCTTACAAAAGCATACATGTGTGTTGTCTGTCGATTTCAAGCATTTTCGACAATTTTTTTTTTCGCCCGCTGTTCAAATGGTGTGTCAAAATATATCGGATACAATTTCAAATTGTTATTGTTGTTTCGTAATTTTTCGTGTTACACATTCGCTCTGCATTCGTGCCGACACTCCTCTAATATGATACTTGTACTGGTCGTTATTATGATTTTTTTTCGCTCTTCTCATTTGCTTTCATTCGTTCATTTTATTTATTTTTCTTCTGACAACATTTTCACCATAGGATGTGTATTACATTTTTTTTTCTTTCTCGTGTCCCTTTTATTCACGTTTATATTTTTCCTTATGATTTCAATTGCTGTTACCGCCATCGCATCAATTTCTTCTTGAATTTTTTTTTCCGCTTTCTCCTATACGCTTATGCGAAGTGTGTTCACATTTTTAAAATGGTGATGCGACTGCTGTTCGTATGTTGCCGTAGCTATAGATTGTTGTTTCCGATGTTTTCAAATTGAAAGCAATACACATCCTATGGGAATAACGGAAGAATTCATTATTTATGGAATTACCTGAAACTATAGGGAACGGCATTTCATGATAACAAAAATATAATATTAGAACTGTCGTGTATCACTATTTCTCTTACTCTCTGTCTCTCCCTCTCCACCGTTGAATGAAATCGCATGCACATATCTTGGATGTATCAATGTTTAGTTTGATCGACATTATTCAGAACGGCAATCACTTGAATGGCATAAAATGAATTGAAAGAGGAGAGAGAGAAAAAAAACATTTGGTTTTTAATTCAATATAAACTGACAATTAACCGATTAGTTCAATACGGCATACGATTCAATTGAGTCAGGTAACATGATATTTACCAGACATATTCCATGTAAATGTTTGTCTAACCTACACAAAAATTAATGTGCTGAATCGTTGCGCTTTTTGCAATGTGCTGCAAGTCAGTCAACGTTGACGTATGGCTAGGGAATCGATGCTGTGGTTTTCCACCAAATGCAAACACTTATTACATAGAATATGAATAACGAAATGAGTTTACGATCGGTGCGCGATGAGGCACTTGAGTATAAAGGAAACGAGCGAGACAAGTAAAAAAAAGATGCACACTGTGACCATAAACTGGCGGATATAAGTGAAAATTATTAAATTTAAATGGAATTTTTTTCCACCAAGACGAGAGTACTTGAACATTGCGTGGCATCTACAGCATAACTACCATTTTATATTATTGAAATTGAGCGTGTTTTGTGCGTTCTTTTATCCAACAGAAAAATGACGAGTTTATATAATATCGGTGTCAAAGTGGAAAAATGCATGTCAATAAATGTGTGAGAGAGAGAGAGAAAAAAAAAGAATATATGCTCATAAATGTACCGCAATTGACGTTAGAATTTCATCAACAAATATTTTGCGCATATCAATACATATACAAAACCATTATTTGGATGCATGCTATTCAACAGCATCGACATTACCATCCTCGCGTGAGCACACATACAAATATACAAAATAGAAAAGCACCTTTGCATACCATCCCGACTCTCATTTTTGAAAAGTGGTTGTGTGATACAATGATTATAGTACACACTGAAGAATGCCAGTCAAGAAAGCACTTGAGACAAACATTTTAATGTGTTTGCCGGTTGCATTGTTGTTGTTGTGTGTGTGTGTGTATTTCTTGCCAAAAACTAGTCGGATACATACGGCATCAGAAAAATGTGCTCTTTTTCCAGCATTACGTTCAGACAAGCAAATAAGCAAAAATTCATGAAATAGCTGTGCTTCATCTTCGTCGTTGGTGTGTGCCTTTTCCAACCGAACTTTATCGACGATCTCATTTTTGTTTCGAACAACGTTATACAAACAAAATGGGAGAGAGAAAAAATACTCAGCTTTTTGACACACACAGCGTTTCGTATATTGTATTCTCAAAAACGATGCGCATCAACATTTAAAAGTATGCATAAGTTTTTAATGTTACTTCAGAGTTCAGAATTTCACACATCTCATCGTTGTCAACGGACGCGCGTGTTGCAAAACTTTTGGAAAAGATTGTGTATTGGCTTCGAACTTCATATTTTTTTTTCGTGTATTTTTGTACATATTCGTTAGTGTGATTAGTTGACTGAGGAGCTCATAACGATTTCTTTCTCTATATCGCTTCCATTCGCCCTTCCTCTCTCTCTCTCCCCCTCTCTATTATTCTTCATACCGTTCTACATGTTGTTCTTGATTTCAGTGAAACACGTATACTTCGTAATATTTGCGCAGATTTTGCTAGACAATGTTACATGAAGTTGTTAAGTGGATTTAAAGAACAACAAAAAAATCTTCAAATAGCTTTGAATGTCTTACTTTTCACTACTGCCTTTCTGGTTGCATTGTTTACGTGGAGAAAGAAATCCAGGGAGATATTGAGGAATTTAACAATGAGGACATATCGACGAACATGTACAAAGCTATCGCGAAAAATAGAAACGGCTTTAAGAACTTTAAATGAACGACTCTTTATAGTTTTTGCGCTTTCGATACTATTTATGTGTGACGGGTTTTGTTATGCATATATAAAACATTCAATATATTATTCGGTGAAAACTGTTATTTTATTTATTTGTCTTACGCTTCCAAATCATTCACTAAACAGATTTTACTCTTTTCGTCTAAATCATCAATTTTATTTAGACTCAATTGGTTTCGCATCATTATGTCCTGTTAGAATGCATGGCCACATGTCTGGATTCGTGCTTGTTTTTTTCGAAGTTGGATCAAATGGTTCTGCTTTCAACGGTAACCCACTATATTGTTGCGGTATTATAATTTTTAAGGTTTGTCCCTCGGTTGGCACTTCAAATAAAACGGTACGAACATCACCAATTTGTAAACATACCGGAATTCCCAGGGCCAATTGCAATAAGTTTTGAAGCTATAGTCAAAATAAAAATTTGGAGAATGAGTAGATAACAAAAACTCTATCAAATTGACAGCTACAAACCATAAGTATTATGCATAGTATGCTCAGAGTATGCATGATGGAGGCGACTTGGTTTCGAAATTATGAACAATTAACTACAATTTTGTCGATACGCTCCGAAATCATCATGAATGAAACGGCTTTGTGTTTAACGAAAAAGTAAATTGTGTTAATCTTCATCGAATTAAAACGCTTCAATTTATATACATATGAAACAAATCGAACACGAAGAGATGTGTTTGTATATTATATAGTTATATCATATTCGACGAAATATTAACACACAACTGTTTTTGTTTGTTGTAACAATTGCGATGTTAATGCATGGTGGATTTTAGCGTATGTGTGCAAGTCTCGAGTAATTCTCAAGGGGTAAACGAACTCTTTTACATAATATTAATTTTTTTTACTTTTGATATTTTGCTCATCGTTGTTCCACTTCCTCAGAGCGTTCCTTCTCACATTAATTTCTACATTTTTGTATATATCCTCAAAAATGATAAAAATAAAATTAATCGGTAATCGAACACCTGGTATGTCGTCCCAATTTCATTGAATTTCACAAAATCGAAATAAATTTATCGTCTTATTTCGAAAAATATTTCAAATTGTTCGAATTTAGATGCCAAAGTATGCGGCTGACGTTACAATCCCCATTTTATATACCAAAATGTCGCTCAAATATTTCTCTGGAATGGATAATTCAAACACAAACACCTATCCTATTTAAATTAAATCAGCTTGCCCTACATTTTAATTCGTGATGAAATGAATTCAATAAATGTTTCTGTCAATCCCCTTCAAGAACACGTTCTTTTTCTCTCAATTTTGAAAAGCAAATATTTGATTAAAAATATAGATTATTATTTAATATATTGTAATAAAAACAAACGATATGTGATTAACGTAGCATTTTGTACAGACAATATAAAATGTGATCGATTGTTTTACAGTTCGAAGAAGTTTCATCCATATTCTAGTTGCTATCTTATTAAATGTTACATTCTTATATTATATTTTAGCATCGAAATACAGATATCTCATGGTGTTCACTGAACAGCAATTTTCTCACGCGTCAACAGCACATACACACAACAACTGATTGAATCTATCAACAGATTGGAAATGCGTGTTTGCGTTCGTTCGAACACATTTGAATATTAATTATGGAAACTGTACGGTGAAAATGCGCCAAATTCACATAAATAAAAAGTTAAAACGCAAATGGATATACATTAAGTGAATGAATCAACTTACTATACACTACATTTGGAAAGAAACTTTTTAAAACGAACAAACTCGTCACGCTATAAGGGAGATAGATGGCAAGAAAGAGGAGATATAGAGCGAGAAAGAGTGCAATTGCAATCAGAAAGAACGGACAAAAAAATGTAGCATCAACATTGAAGAATATCGGACGAGAATTTGTTTTCTTTTTATGAAAGTGTATATGTGCAAGTTGGTATGCAGGTGTAGCAAACCCTCAGAAACGCTTTTAATGTTTTCAAGCGTAAAAAAACTTTTCTTCTCAAAGAAAATGGCTTTTTGGTGATTTCATTCAAAAGTGAAAAAAATGACCAGTTGTTGGAAAAAAAATGGGCTCACCGTCTGACGACGTGATGAGAGGGAGAGCGAGAGAGAGAGAATGTAAGGAAATAAAAAGAAGTCGGCAAAATGAAATAGAAAGAAAAAAATTAAAATAGTTTTCATGCATTTTAGTTATGCTGGACGATTTGTATACATGGCCATTTAGCACATTTTCTTATCGTTTTCAACCTGTTTAGACATTACATTTGCCAGTAAAATGCAGTAATATTCTGAAACGTAGTTCCCGACCAAACAGAAGTCATCATTAGAATGATTCAAATGGCAAAAAAAAAACGGGGGAGGGTAACAGTAGAAACGAGAGAGAAAAAAAACAAACAAACTTTTGCTCCGTACCTTTGATCGTTTGAATCTTTTGCAATACTCTTATTTGGCCGGCCGGGATTTTTCGTATGTGCATTCATTTGTACATTCGCTTATGTTTATCCTATTGCATTAGCAATCGTGAAAAAAATGGGCAAAATAGATATAGAAACTTGGTATTCGTTTGGAGACAAACACAAATCGAAACTAAAAAAAATTCGAAACCAAAAACTACATAATGGATGAAAGAAAAGAAACCATTTTTTCCGACTAGTCAATAACTTTCTCTTTTTTGTACATCTTTGGAAAATTTGCAATGTTATTCGATAGTATTCAAAAAGTTCTTTACTTTAATTCCCTTCAGTCTCCTTGGTTGCTTTTTCCAATTCCATCCATTCTCCATATCTTGTGTTCGTCTCTGTTTGTACAAATAAAGGATGAAATTACCGTTAAAACGAAGCATTGGGATTTCCAAGTAGAAGTTTTCTAATCGGCAAGTCCCCGACTGCAAGTGACATCCCTTGCTCACACTGTGCATATCATGTTGCCATCAATTTTCAATATCTTTGTACTAATTTTTGGAAATTGTGATTATTCAAACTCTTTGAAACTCTCTTGTTGTTAACCCTTTTCTGCTTTGATTTTTTTTTTCGTTCAAATTCTCAAGTGATTAATCAAACGATTAAATCAAGAATGAAAATTTTGTCAATGAAAATTAATACAAAAACTTTTTTATATAAACGATATCTAAATAATGTATTTGTGGATAGTTTAAAATGGAAAGTACTTGAAGAAACTCGCTTATGGGAATTTCTGAAAACGAGAACAGAAGGAGGTTGTCTAGTCATTTTCATTATCAGCTATAGTCAAAGCACATGGATAGCGAACTTCAATAAATTGATGTGAGATTTTTTTCGCAGCAATGAAACGACAACAACAATAACAATAACACGTATTTTTACTGTCCAAATTTTGAGTCAGAATGGTGTACACATCAGTGATAGTATTTTGAAACACACTTTGTAAGTCATTTTCATTGTATGTTTGCATATTCAATCTAGTTCACATTGACGGTTGCGAGTATTCTTCAAATCATTTATGTCCACTAGCGTGGATATGGACTGTGTGTTTCTTCTGTTACATGTACGTTATAATGAACAAGTATAGTAACGTGGCGTCGTTCAAATAGATTTAAAAATCCCATCACCACTGTCGCCACCATCTCTTTTGTATGTGCAATTCATTTGTTAATACGTTAGACGGCTGAGTATTGTATACTTTTAAGGTTACTGGGTAATACCAGTTATGCTTGCTGCTATCATTCTTAAATTCAAATAAATTCACTGTAGCACATATTATTGATAATCTTTTAAAACTTCTCTTTATATAAAGAGAATAATGATTATTATTGCTATTTTGAGAGAGTTTTTTCTGGAAATTTATTTTTAGTTCGGACTTAGTTAACAATGAAATTTTTTCTTTTATTTATTATCCTTCATGCTAAGCGTAAATGGATTCAATTCTCAATCCATGCTTTTTAAAACTCTTAGCATTATTTGCAACAAACGCTCTTTTTTCATCTAAAAATAGAATTTTTCGACGAATTTCATTCTTTCATAAAAGAAATTCAATGAAAGAGATCCCACTCAGAATTAAATATCAAATATGATGCGCATTTTGCTTCCCCACCTCAAAAAAAGTTGGTATAAAAAGAAACTTCATATTGAATTGATTCAGCATTAAGTTTGTTACTTGCTTTTACTTCAAATTTGATGTTGAGTTTGAAAAGAAACAAAAAGCATCTCAGTAAAAAATTGAAAACTGCTGAAAGTGGTAAATAAAATCTAGGTTCGACTGTTCCCCAATAATTTCCATTACTCGTTGATTTTGTTGTTATGTGTGTGTTATTAATCAAATTCAACATGAGTTAGGGTAAAAGTGACCGAATTATAGTAAAATGGACAAGTCTCTTGTTATTGAACAAAATATCTCATTAATTGGTTAACACCACGGGTATCATGTGTTAGCATTTAGTTTGCTTTCATGATGTTTTTGACACCATTATCAATGTTCAGCAATTATAGACAAAATCAAACAGTGCACAAATCAGAAAGCTTTTTGCCAAGCAAGAACAAAAAACTTTATTACTGAGAAAACAAAAGTCAAAGCGGTTCGCTAGGTTAGTCTACATTCAAAGTTTGATATTAGTGAACAAACATGAGTCGTAATTTATTTTGGAACTGAACTTCAGACTCAGTTCTCCGGAATTACTTGAAGTGAACATCTTACGAACACCAAATGCAATGTAAATAATGTAATATTTGGGGCGTCCTCTTAGAATTCATAGGCCACTAATCAAATCGCAGTAAATTAAGAAAGCTTTCAAATGTACCCAAACTATCTCAGTATGATGATACATCTTTTATGTTACAAAATTACTGTGATTTACGAAGCTGAAGTCAGTCAGAGTGCAGGTCGATAATAAATATTGAAGTATGTTATGTCTACAATTTTTGATGAAAATGTCTTTTTCTTTTTCCACAAATCTCACGAATCAAAAATTATTCTTAAAAATGTTTCAAGCTGAAAAAACAATCAGGCATGAATGTAAAATTCATGGTGTAAAATTTCAAGGATACCGTGTTGTCGAACGAAAAAAAAGTTATCGAACCGTTTTGATTTTTTTCTCGATTTTTTTTTTTGCATTTTCATTATGAATTGAAAGCGAAAGCCTGCAGACGATTTATTGGCTTCACAATACGATTTAATGTATTGACAGCACCGATTTTTACCATAAAATCCAAGACGATTCGTGGAATAAAAAAAAGCATCAGCAAAGTTTATAAGATACTTGCCACAATCCAGCAATGACATTGATGACTTCGGATCGATCAACAATTTGCCAATATGCTGTGTTCGACTTATCGCTATTTTACTCTCTTTATCTCTCTCTCTCTATCTGTTTTTCTCTCTACCGTCTTGGTTTTTGACTTGACACCCAAGAATGCGAACATTGCAACGATTACTTTGGTTTTTGTCGAAGAAGAGCAGTTGTTTAAAAGCTCAACGCTAAACCAGATTCAATCTGGTGATGGTGGTAGAGTTTGGTTTGTTGTCGTTGAGCACCGAATTTTCATTGACTGAAAAGTGAATGTGTAATATGGTAGGTAATATGTTGTGCGTGCCAACTGCTTAAGTGATGGTGATTGCTGAAGATTGATTGAATACACTGGCAACTGAGCGAACGTAAGGCAAAACAAATCAATGAATACAATATGAAAAAACGGAAATTGGC